GAAAATATTATATTTAGTTGGTAATAAGCAAAAAGTATTTTTTCAGATGTACTTCCATTTAGCGTTTAGGCTATGGGATAAAATAAACTAACTCATGAGATATAACGAAACAGAGTGCGGGTGTTATCTCAGGTAAGAGAAGAAATTATTGTAAGATAACTCTTTCAGTTAGACAAGTTTCAAATGGAAAAATACGGTCATCATTTGTTGACATTACTCTGATTATAATCCACTTTTTGACGTTTCGTTATACCTAGAGTATATACCATTCTGTCTGGCTTTCAACACAGGAGCTTGCACACATGTGTACTTGTTTGAGTTACCACATTCCATGAGGCATAAAAAGGTACAAAAAAAGAAATTAAATGGAACTCTAATGAGTATAAATGTGAGGGAGAACGGATAGTGATGAGAATGAAGTATAAGGGTTGATTAGATACGAGAGATTATACAAAGTGAATGCATCTGTGTCATTGATAATGACTTGGAGTCACATCTCTCCCTAACACTGTAGGTTTAACCCCATTATAACTCACCGTATTATCCCACTTAACACAGACACTTATGATTAAAACACCTGTAGTCTTTTCATTTCTCCCAGCTTCGTTGGCCACTTCTCATAACCTAGGCGGACAATGTCAGCAGCATACTCTAACTTGACGAGAATGTTCCCTGGTAACTCCCTAAAGTGAATGACAGTTAATTCTATTATTAAATGTATGATGAAATTGTACTGAAAAAAGGACGATGGTTGTAGAAATGAGCCTTGTATTACATCCTGATTAAAAATATGAGTAACCTCATAGTTTAATTTCAGTACTAAGTGAATAAAAAGCAGTCTGCAGAATGCACGGAATTCACAAAATGACGTGCTGCCTTTTCAAAACACCCAGTTAGTGTTTCCTCAGTAAAGTGAGAAATGGGAATTGTGGTTGTGCACACTAAATAGGTTGTGAACTGCTGCCACTGAAAATGACGACAATTCTCGGAATTACAAGTTATAATTTTAGCTCAACTGCAACATTAAGCAGTTGTTAAATAATAAGTAAATAAATTTATTCTCATAGTACAGTACATGAGGGACGCCAGTTTACAGGCATCATCAAATTATTACAGAAATAGAACCATATAATTCAGTCACAATTTACTGGCAGTAGCAAGATATGCCTTACATGTTCGCTGGAGATTATGCATACACTTGATAAATGTAAATCCCAGTAGTATAAAACAGCCTTTTCACTTATATACAATCATTTCTGTGCACAGTTGGAAAAATCTGCTAGATTGTCAGTGAGTGCAACACATCAGGAAATACAGAAGTATTGTCTTCGCATTAACAAAAAATTCCAGGTCTTTGGTGGATGGATTATAAGTGCCTGGGAAAAAGAATAAAGCTTGAAGTCAATTTTCATCCATAACTTTGTTGTGTGCAGAATCCTTGAATTATAGTTCATTGATGTGTTATTTTGAAATCAGTGATATGTTTATCTCATTTGATCTGCAATGTCATTGTTGGGAGTAAATACGCAAGCTTCAGACGAATTAATCAATGGATTTCTACTGCTCGTGAGTATTTTCTTAGCGTGAGGAAGGTTTATGAATTTCAGCTATTCCGACAGGAGTTGCGAATATTTTACATATGTATATACTGTTAATAATACAATGCTATTTTTTGTGTCAAAATGACTTTACTCAGCCAATAACCACCTTTTCTCATATACTTTTCTAAAACGTATAATTTTTATAATATTTCGCAGTATTTTTAACATTATATAAGTTGAAGGGTTACTTTGCAATATCTAATGCGCACGGTATGAAAATCGGTCATGAAAATTTAGCATAACTAGCTCTGTTAGCCGGCTGTTTTCTTCAGGATCACTATACATAATTTTATCACTAATTGTTCCACTACTCATATCACTCTGCTAAATAGAATATAACTTAGTTGCTCTAATATTAGCTATTTTTATACTTCATAACTCTTAAGGGAAACCTAATTTCTTAGTCTTTTGTAGTAACCCACTTGTTCACAAGTATGATGATAATACTGCTAACAATGTCCTCTGGTATTATTGTGCCATGTGACCTAATGGGAAGCACTTGTCATGAAAGCTGTTACGAATTATAATATTGATTACACTCCTATCATACATAGTTTGATTCACTTTACGGCTCCCTGTAAGACTAACTACCCCTCTTCAGGATACACACACTGCGGTATTGTTAACCAAATGTTAAAATTCTGTTGGTTCTGTGTTAATATCGTTTTATAATATGTGTAGACTGGTTACTTTGCAATGTCAAATGTTTACTATATAAAAGACTGTCATAATAATTTAGTACAATAAGTCCTGCCAACCGACCTTACCTTCAGTTCATACTACCTACATTGAACTCTAACTATAGTGTTCTGATGAATCTTGCTCCACTATTCACAAAACCTATTCTTTTTACTCTTTAAGGGTTTAACATCTTATAAACTAATCTGTTCATTAGGACGCATGCACACATATATAATATGTTCATAAATCTGTATGTGGAGATCTATTGGAAGCACTCACTAAGAAAGCTAGGGAAATGGAATGTGAGGTACGAACGTGTCTGGAATCAAGCAATATATTTGCTGTAGCCATAACAATCAGAGCCTAACATCATAAAAGGAGGGAGGGTGGCGCATGCTGATCAGTAGATATGGTGGAGGACACTAAGGTGAATCGCCCCATTCTGCAGGAACAGCAATATACAATTTGATGGCTCGAGATTTCTATGAGGGCTTGAATCTTTATCTTGAATAAGATAATAATGATCGCCTGGACAGATCATGCTTCTACCTTTAAACATATACCATTCGGTCAGCCTATTGCTGAGATGCGACCACGTGGGCTCTGCACAGATTTATGGGGCATCTTATAAATTGACATGCTTTCCTTTGTCGTATCTTCGAATATCACTTAACAATGTCTCATCTCATACATTTTCTAATAACGTCTTCACTTGCTCATTATATTCCACTAAACCTAACATTTTATAGCTCTTTATGAATTTGATTCGACTTATTTTATTCCTATTCTCTATAGGGTACGGTTGTGCACCAAACACAAAAAGGTATGAAATTAAAACAACCGGCTTGTGGATAATTGTATTAAACCAAAAGTGGACAACATGATAGTAAAACCTATAGGGTAGCATTATACATTGCAAAGGAACTTTGTCAGCCTAGGGATTATAGTCTCCCATTGTATTTCCTTTATGAATGCATATATTAATGATACATTGCATTTACCTATTTCATTACACTTTAATGATTCACCTTTGCACCTTTACTTTTCTAAAACAGCTTACTATCCCTTGTAAACGTTGTACTTACCTCAATATTGGTTGGTTATCGTATGCCTACAACTACGGGTTGAAAACGAAATGAAGTCGATTTTCCTGCGCAACCTGGAGGACTGCTGTTTAATTCAATAATGATACGACATGGGTCAGACAAAGAGTGTATTTATACATATATCAAATATTTAGCTGTTCAAACATTACTAACTTGTAGACAATCTACTATTTGACATTGTATCATACTTGATCGTGCCTGTCTCAGGCGTCTTAGCCATAGTGTTTCTAGTCCTAGGGTATGACATCTAGTGGAGTAGTTCGCACCACTTGACCACTTGACAAGCATAAAATTTATACCGGAAGTGCATGAGATTTAGTAAGACATGTACACTTTTGCTCTCAAAATGAAGTCTCCTTGCCAAATGTATTACTGTAAAAGCCTACAAACTTCACAAATTAACTCATAACACTGAAGTGGAAAAACCGCTATTTGTCCTAACTGAACCTAATATGGAGAGTCTTGTGAAGTAATTCCAGTATTATGTCATAATGTCTTGCTTCATGCGGAATCGCAAAGCAGCCCGATTCACAACAGTACTTATACGAATAAACTGAAAAATAAAGTCTTCCTCACCTTCTAGACACCTTGTCTTTATTCCATATAAGGCGATAAGTTTCTTTCACACATGAGTTTAAGTTATGTTCATGAAATCGGAATATGGTAGCAATTAAATCTTCCCACAAAAAAAGGGCCACTTGAAACACAAGTTCACAACAGTGCTACATATTATGACCATAGTGATGATGCTTTTTTGTCTTAAAATGAAAAGCTGAGTGTACATGAAAACTGAAATTAGTTCTGAAATTGTGCTATGGATACCATCGACTAAAAAACCAATTAAGACAATAGCATCTGAATAAATAGGCCGAAAATACTAGTATGATTCCATAGAAATTCAAAATTACAAGTTTAAATTTTGAACTTCCTACCTTATTTAATCAATCCCATTGCGCAGATATCAGTATCAAGCGACATACCCTGATACAAATGCATTATGCCGCCAATATTATGTGGGCCAGAAATTTTTTTATGCACAATTTCATCTAAAAAGCCTATAAGAAACATAAATTGTTACTGAACCAACATAGCAACGGATACGAACGCTACAACTAGCGGGGATATGCAACAAAGCCACTCTGTTCTGATTGATTATATCACATTTGCACCATATTACATTCTACACTAAAGAATCTTTGTACACAATGGAGATAGCTGCCGATTTCCAACCAGACAGTTCAAAATAGATGTAGGAGCATATTTTGTAAATTCCCACCGTACCGTCACATAAAATCCAGACATTAATTATTTAAAACACTGAAACAAGTAGATTTTTCGCTTCTCTCTTCTTTGCCTGATTACCGAAAACTCAAAGTAACAATAAAACTCACAAAAGAAATAAAGGTAAAAAAATTAAATATTTTTTCCATTTTATTCTCTGTACTGAGATGTGAATATTATTCAGCAGATTTTGTTTGAGTTATTCAGTTCCATGGCCTTTTTAAAGGGGTCGCTTTTGATTTGAGATGAGATATTTCTGTTCACCGTTTGTTGGCTAACTAATTCTGCGGAATACTAACCATTCCTTTATAAAATCATTGTATACATATTGATGACCATGTCACTGCAAAACTCTCATGAGTCTAGTAATCATAAACGCAATCCGATACGTAGTATTGTTGATTCAGGCAAAAGTTCATCTAGTATCATGTGCTACGTAACTCTAGCAAGTAATCAGGTTTACCAAGTAGAAGTGGATCACAAGGCAGATTGCCAGGAGGTGATAGACAAGGTTTGACTGGAAAATATACTATAATTTTATTTCGCTTAGGTGTGCAAATTAATTGGAACTGTTGAGGAAGCTGGTTATTTCGGCATTCAGTTGGCCGGGTCGAAGAATGAAATGTACTGGTTGAATAGCCGAAATAGATTGTCTAGACAGATCCCTGGTTCACCTCCTTATCACCTCTTCTTTCGCGTCAAGTATTTCGTTCCACCTTGTACACTTCAGTTGGAAGAAACTAGGTAAGTTCACTATTCTTAATTAATTCATGTTGTTATAAAGGCATCAGTTTTATACAAATGTCGTTTATCATTTGAAAAATGGGTCGTGGGACGCTGGCACGTCATTGGAGACGCAGTCACAACTAATAGCACTTATGGCTTACGTGCAGTTTGGTAACTACAATCCTAATACCACACCATGCAAGTATGCTTGCTTTTGGCCAGAATGCCGCCATGAAATTCCTCCGGAAGCCATTCGCATGGCCGCCAGATTTCACCAAGACTTGAAGGATATCACAATAGCACATGCTAAATATGAGCTTCTGTCAATCGTCTCTAGAGAATTCCCGTCTTATGGGACCTACTTTTATGATATCAAGGACATATTCGACCGCAAGTTATTGCTTGGTATTGGACCAAATGATATAGTCATCTGCAATTCAAATGGAGAGGTTATCGAACGGTAAGTTTATTTTAGATCCCACTATTTTGTCCATTTGTTAAATCCAGTCTCATTTAAACACGATAATTTTCAGACCCAGATAAATCCAGTTGTAACACCTTATTAACCAGACAGAAAGGTGCCAGTATAGATAACGACGATAACATACATAGCCTATTTATAATGTTTGATTCGTTAGGAAATTAAAGCACCCATGCATTTCGTTTTTAGTTTTAACCACAATTACCATACCTACAAGTTTCACTCTCAGCTTTGTAACGGGCTACACTTCAGCTTGCAATTTGTTAGGAATATGTGGTCATTTTCATTCTTCTATATCTTGGCTTTTGTTAGCTTTATGAAACGACAATTATGTAGTATACTGAAGTATCTAGAAGAAGTGCTGTCGGCATCTGAGACATTTACTAGGTAGTTTTACCTTACTTTAGTCCTACTGCAAGCTGTTATCCGACATATATGCTACTCTCTGCAAGATGCATTTTTAATTACTCACTTAGTTGCATGTAAATAAACTTCCTCTTAGGTACTCCGGCTTGTTCAAAATCAAATACGCGTTTTGTTGTTAATTCTTAATTTTTCAGACATCCTTGACTGTTAGTTTTGCATTAATCCCCTTTTTAATTCTGTTTTTAATGGTTGTAGTCATTTACCCAGTTTCCATGGGTCATTTGCGTACACAAGAAATGTTCTTCAGAAATGTTGTAGATATGCTATTTAGAAAATTGATGAGTAATTTTGTGCAACAGCTTACTTTGGAAATATATAAGTGAGGTAGTGGTACATGAAAACGCTCACTTTCTTAATATGTTCAAAATAATTTCATCTGTATTGCATTGCGTGACTCACGCTACATGGGTTTTATTTCTATAACGTGGAAAACGCAACCTTAGCCCTAACACCAAGGGCCTTTCTGTGATATTCACTTACATGTTAACAGTCGCACGGCACTCTGTATTGGAGTTTATTCTTGCTGGAAATCCTATTTTCACAACAATGTGAGAACTAGCACTGATTAGGGAAGACCGTACTACCTTGCATATTGCATGTGTTTCATTGACGTAATTATTTCATGCTAAAGGTTTTGAGTTCAATTCTCATTCCACCTATTTTGGCGTGGCAGACTATGGGATATCATTTTGACTCGCTGATAATAGAGTATAAAAACATGTAAAGTGTCATCGCCTTGTATTAATTAGCGGATGTTTTGCAAAATATTGTTTCCCAATACTCGACAATTTATTCTAATTTGTAAGTTAATAATCTGGCTGTCTTGCGTAGTAAGCATTGATTAAGGCCAATTTCAATGCAGTTTAAACCGCCTAACAGGTTTCTTCAAGTCTTTCAAGAATCTTAGTCACAAATGGAGCTGCTTGTTTAACTGTACGGCTACTAGAAGTCGATAAAGATATCCCATAAATTTGGGATTAAATATTTTAAATGTCCATCTTTTTATACAATTTTGGGATAGATAGTATTATCCAGTTGCAGGTACAATCTTTGAAGCTATGTTGATTGTTACTCTCCAGCATTATTGATAGTATTTGTATCAACTACAGCTTTGAAAACAAACATTGGTACGATACAAGACCTAATTTTGGAAGTGAAGCCTTTACTAAAAGCTGATCAACAGTAAGGTACCTAGTATTATAGGAAATTTTAGTGCTCCATCTATGTGCTATGCTATTATTCTTGCTAATTTATTGGTTCTCAAACTTCTCAAAAAGTATAGTATTCAACTGCGAACGATTTTGGGAAGTGTACAGCTCCATATAATGCAAATAAGTGGCTGAACAAATCACTTGCTGAGTATAAGTATGTGTACTGAGAGGGATATCAGCGCTACTCAGCCGCCAAGATTACATAGGATTAAAAGGGACCAGAGGTAGTGTTAATGCTTATATGTCAGTCAAAAGGCTACACACAGACCACAGTTGTCTTAAAGGTCTATAACCTTGAGTCGTTTGAAAACGTTTGATGACTAAACGTTCTATCACTTGGACCTATAGATGTAGATGTTAGATGGATTAGATTGTTATTCTAGTCACCAACCCAATTCGCTTGCATACTTTCACATCTTTCGTGATCAGTACGTTACCTAACTAAACTCATATGAATGTAAGAACACCACTTAATATGTTTCCTTCGTTGATATGAATTTTTGTTTTTGATTATCCAGCTTTATGGGTGTTTAATCAACAAACCAGTCTTAATTTCCGAAAATTTGGAATGAGTTAACTTATTTTCTTACGTTGAGATTACATCAGCCATTTGAATTTTTCTCGGTTGTTATTTAGACTTCTGTGTCATAGTTGTCTAAGTGGTTAGTTGCTACAATTTCATTCAGTCAAGTTGGCTTTTATCACCGAACGCTTCCACTAAGGGAGAAGTAATGTAGTAATTTTTCAGTTAGTTGATGACAATTTCTTCAGTATTCCATAAAATCAACGCATTCCATGAACTCTTTCTGTGAAAGGTTTAATATTTTAATTGTCTAAAGATAAAAGTGAGTATTAATAAATATATGTATATATCGTTAAAAGTCTCAAGATTTCAGTTATATATCATATCCAGTAAATTGATTTGAAGTTGTACACTTTTACTGTTCATTCATTGATATAATTGTAACATGAAACGACTGTTTGAGTCATTTTTAACCTTGAACTATGTGCACCCAAAAATGTGGTTGTCTGCTCAGCGAACACTTAATACTAAACCATCACATAGATTTATTTCACAAATTGTGCTTAATCTTAATAGGTGGTAGAAAAATTGTAGACATGACTGATAATGATACTCATTTGGTACCCACTTTCTCAAAGTTATTCAGTATTTCACATTATGAATTATGAACAATTATTGAACAAATTTATTTGTAGTATGTTAATCTCTAAGTCATGAACTGAATGGGTGATGCGGATTTAATTGAGGGTTTACTTTTGAAGTTACATTTTCTGGATCTGTCTGACGCCATTATTAAGGTGGAAAACTTTAGAAATGTGAACCAAATATATTTCTAGCTAGTATATTAGTACAGTACACGTATTAGGTACTTACGTGTATCACTTTTAATTAACGGCTAAATTCCAATAACTTTTGAGTTGAAACTGTTTGGAAGTTAAAGTGTATATCGTGGACATTTTGGTAGAGTATAATTTCATGTTATTTTGTTTATTTCAAATAGCCCACACTGATGCAGTATTACTTACGGGATGATGATTCAGGTACAATTAATTGCTCTTATCTTCATATAATTATTGTGTTCAAAATAACATCCAGTGAACAGTATTGCATTAGTGTGCATATGAATAATCTAAGACATTTATTCGAAAGCTTCACAACTGAAGTTGACCATTTGATTCAACTATTCAGTAGTCCTTTGCAATGCGAGTATTCTACAAAAACATTCAACGCAAGTTTTGTGAAAAAAATACTCACACTAAACTACGGTTGTGAGTCACGTGCAGGGAGTAGCGATTCAATTTTCATTATCGGAAGTTTCTAAATCTATAGAGGTATTTTAATGATTTCGTAAAATATTAAATCAGCTAGCTGGCTTCAACGACATGCATGTATCCAGTGGAGACCAGGAGGATACTTCAGAATTAATTTATATTTTCGTGAGTAGTTTAAATGCTCTCAAATATGTGACTAAGTAAATTGGCTAAATTGGTTTCCGTGTTATTAATGTAACTAATATTTTGACAATTTTGCAAACGATTATGCCATGTTAATTCACATTATTTTTTGTTTTGTTCTTTGCTCATAAACAATGTAGTTTTCCATTTTGTCGAGTTCACACAATCACGAACAGTGCACGAGTTGTTACATTAAATCTCCTCGAAGATGATGGCAGTGTAAAAGGCCAAAATTATCAGTTATCATCAACTCGTTTAGCTTATGCTCTTTATCGTACAATAACTGAAGTACACGCGTTTTTCCATAGTGACTCAATAAAACAATCTCTGCTTGATCAAACTGTACGAGAGTCCTTCTCTTCAATGTTTGATCATAATGGTTAGTTGTGATTTTCAATCATTTAATTTTTAATATGAAATGAACTTTATCCTACATAACACACTTCTACATAATTACTGATTAGTTAAGGTACAAATAGTACTAAAAGTATGACCAGGCATTGTTGAGTATAATCTTTATTCACTGCTTATATAATTATTGTTAGTGAGAAATTCTGAACTATTTGGTTTATGCATTTTGAGATGTCGTCTAGCTACATTAACACCCTCTGAAGATAAAGAAATATATTCCTATTGACATACGTTTATAAGACTTTTTAACGCGATTCACTTGCAAAATAACTCCTAGATAAAGAAATTTCCTGGCTGATACTTGTGTATCAATGACTCATCATTCTGGAAATTTTTTTTTAATACGTGTAGGTAAAAGAAAGACAATGATAGACTTGGTGAAGTCAGTATTAAATAGCAATAGTAATGAAAGTAGGCATAACACAGGTGATAATAGTGATTATATCAAAAGAAAAAGGGAGTGAGGTAGGAGGAGACATTAAACCTTCAGGCTTTGTACACTATAGCTGGGGGCTTGATAGTCTAGTTGATCACTATTTTATAAACAGTTTCTCATCTGAGATTTCAATTTCTTGTTTAATCATCCCTAGAATGCTTAAACAGAGTTCAGCATCAATTTATTTCGGATGAGTACTTGAAACACATAAAATGCACTGCTTTCCGTAAAATACAATAATCCACTTGAATTAATTTGTCAACTAGAAATTATTGGGACCATTGTAACTATTGTCATCAAATATTTTAGACATATTGGCAGTATGTCTAGTCAGTTGTGGTTTAGTCATTACTATTTATGTTCAAAATTGAATTGCGAGAAACATACTGATGGATAATTAATATTTATTTACATCTATTTGATAGTTACTCCTCATTTATGGAATTTATCTTAAACAGGCAAAGAATATGCGTTTGATCTCCGCTTTACATTTTTGGAAGTATATGACCGAGCGAGAAGGCGTATGTTTCATTGTACAAGCAATACAAACGCACCACCCTCATGTATCCCAGTTGGTTTTCCTGAAAGAACAAGGAGTTTAAGTGGTTCAACTAATTCTGTTATTCATGGAGATAATACTTCAACAAGTAGCTTGGATGCTATACACAAGACTGGAGATTCTCGAACAGGTCATGGATCTTCGAGTAGGACTGAATCAGTTGTCAGCGTTGAGGTAAGAACAAATCTTTTACTTTTAAAGTTTAATTGGTTATTAATGGACTATTGGTATATATAGTCAATTTGGATAAAGAATGAATTGTGATTTGATGAATAGCTTGATGGTTATGTTGTTGACTTGCGCAGTTGATGAAAGAGGTCAAAAACTCAGCAAAGACCTATAATTTTAAATACTTCATGTACATCTCTTTGGCCAGAGCTGAAAACAAAATATGCCTGAGCCAAGGCTGCATGCTGCCTGTTTCTTAAACTCTAGTACTTTCTATATTGTCTTTTAGAGAGGAAAAACATTTATGCTCCCCAGCATCTGTTCTGTGTGTCATTTATGTGATATTCATTCTCGATGTATCAAAGGTTAGGTATGTGTTATGGTTGCACATGAAACTCCTCCATACATATTCGATGCCAATTCAGTAGTACCAGAAGACTGTGTAATGTTTTCTGATATGAAAATGATAATTGTTTCGAATAATTCAGTCATTAGTCCTTGTAGTAAATAACAATAAACAAAAAGCTTTACAAAATGTGTTGTACTTAATTCGCTTTCGTGTTTCCAAAATGTGGTAATAACTTTTGCCACTAACATTATATTTTAGTCAGCAATTAATTGGCTATTGATACTATTAACCAGTTATTTTTGTTTGTGTTTCTACAATGTTCTATTACTGATTGTAATGACATTTAGTTACAGCAATAAATGTTGGTTTTATTTAGAATGTTTGTCAGTCAATATGGTAGTCAGTGATAACTGCCATATGTCCTAAGGCTTTGAAGTGGTATTCAGTTATACACGACATTATGCAACTTGTCACTCTGTTTAAATAATGTGGTAAAACTGGCTTTTCGCTTGTACCATTTTGCCTGCAGGTTGTACCACTGAAAAATTCGTAAACAAACTGGAAATCTTACAGCTCACTTACTAAGTATCAGAATGTTCCACTATGTGGTATCAAGACCTGCACACACACACACACACACACACTTATTCATCCAAACAGTAGGATATTGCTTTCGCAATGTTACCTCATAAATCGGTGTTCATATTCTTGTTAAAACAAGAATCTTCACTGCTTAATTTTTGGCTAGAATCTTTCCAGCCTTGTCTTTCATGAGGCTGAAATTGTGTTCTGTACACTATCCCAGCGCTGAATCGTATTTCATTTGGTTTAAGTGTACACTGACTTGAAATACAAGAATAAAAACAGGATTAACTTTGATACAACTCACAATTCGTCGTGTGATTTTTATATAGTTCGACGCTTATTCCTTATGGAATTTCAAACGTACGAATAACACATCAAAAAGAAATACTAAGATATTGTAAATCGGATCATCCTCAGTCTAAAAGACATGGGGAAAAACGTTTACTTGACTTTTATGAGGGCATATTTAGAAAGTTAACCTGGGAAATCTAATAATGAATCGGATCATGTAAGTTGTACTGATGTGGAAAACATTTAATTTAATTTAAAGCGGTGTTCGGTTTCTCACCGCTCTACTCCAGTCTAAATGAAACGTGGAGTGCACTTTTTATATTGTCCAAACCATTACTTTCCTTAACGAAGATACTGGGCTGAGAAGTTTTTTTAGAGAAATATATATCTCACAAGTGTAAAGTACTGCACTGTTTCTCTTACAAGCTAAGAGAAGCATAAACTGTCTAGCTTTGTACAAATTGATGAGAACCACTGGTTGAACGACATAGTACAAAGTCGACCATACTGTCATAATTGCATACGCTCTTTGTCAATTTAAGAGCATGCAATTTTAACTTTTAAAATAATCTATTCCAAATTTCGGAGATAGTGTGATTTGTTGATATGTGGGATTACTATCGAGTTATATTTTTATGTGTGGTTTTTGCTTGACTGTTAGTGACTTGATCTAGTGATCTAAAAATGTGTTTCTTTACAATGGTTATGTCTAAAATAGAATATATGTTAACTGAAAACTTGTCTTATCTTTAGTAGAATAGATGCAAGACATGACCGCGTAACGCTTTGGACCTTCACCTTAATTACTCAATACACAATAATTACTATTGCCACTTGATTAAATTTAAAACAGTACAATCCAATTATTAAGTTACAGTTTTACCTGAGCAATAATCAATAGGTTAATCGACTGTATGAGATTTTTGTATCATATATTAACATTGATGTAGAAAGCGACAAATCGAATATATGTGATGTAAAATAAATTAGACCTGAGGTAATATTTGTTCTGCAGTGTTGGCTAATACTGGAACACAGTTATGATATGCAAACAAATCTATTCCATGCTTTTCTAATAATTTCCTTAAAACAGTTTAGATCTTCAAAATACTCTACCAATAAAATAGATGAAACAGTTTAATAAAACAAATGCAGGTTTCAGTTTATAATGTAAGTGTACTTAATTTTGTGTGATATATGTCTTCTAAATAGTTAGCATGCATCTGTCATGTAAGTGTCATCTTTACACTGTCTTTTAGTTTGTAATGATGATTCCTTTTGATAAAAATTGATCTAGCAGTATGTTTATATGACTGAAAACAGATAAAATAGGATAGTGAAATTCGTTCCACTAATCCCATTTTATTGATATAAGTATAAAACTTGGGCACTGTGGTAGAGTATAACTCCATTATGGATAAGATTTTATTGTGATAAATCACAGTGTTATACGGTAATATTAACAGTTAAAATTACTGTATAACACTGTGTGATTTATCACAATAAAATCTTATCCATAATGGATTTATTCCTATTTTACTTACAATGAGAAGAATACATTTTTGAGATTTTAAGTAGTTACAACGTGGCTCAATATGAAGATTGGTTGAATTTCTGCACATAAAATAACCGCATACCGGTTACAATTATGTATATATTTATATTATTCCCTTGCGTCCCGAGTGGAACATAGGGCTTCTCTATTATGCCGTCCTCTTCAGCCGGGTCCACGATTGACGAAACTCATCTCTTCCTCACACGATCTCCTTGTCACACTGGAACGACCCACTCGTCGCTTCCCATTTGGATTCCACTAAAGCAATGGCCTGGCGTGGGATGTCATTCGGCCGCCTCCTCAATGTTTCCCGATCCATCTCCACTTTCTCCCACATATTTGTTGAGCGATCGGCTCCTGGTTGGTTTGTTGCCAGAGTTTCTTGGTAATAATTCTTTCTGGTCATTTGATCTTCAGGATGAAGGCAGTGAAGGCAACTGTTGACAAGAGTCTGTAACTTGTTGGGAGTCTTTTTCGTGATACGCAGTGCAAGTTTCTGACCTGTATAGAAGAACTGACATGACATTTGTGCTGAAAATCCCAATATCGTTCTTTATGCTGAGTTAGTGCAGAAGATTTCCAAACTGGTTTCAGGTTGATGAACACGTGCATATCTTGCCTTTCCGATTCTGACTGGCTGGCTGGCTTTGACATCTTCATCCGTTCCAAATGCCTGTAGTTGAAAAGATGCTTCCTAGATAAGTGAAGGAAGTAACCTCTGTTAAATCTCTCCCGTTGATGGTGATTGGTGCTGGTTGTTGTTGCTGTTGGCGGTGGTTGGTTATCTTCATCACCTTCGTCTTCTCTGTGTTCACCTGCAGTCCTGTTTTCGCTGCCAGCCTCTTCAGCCAGTTTGTTGGTTTTCACTTGCAAGTCTTCAAGTTTGTATGACATTAGACATATATCATCCACGCGCGAAATCCAGATCTTCCAGAGTCTTCTTATTGGTCGTCCAGCGTATTCCTGATTCTTTGCCCCCAACAGTCTGATGCATAATCCAGTCCACCACAATTAAGAATATCATCGGTGATAATAGGCAGCCTTGTCTTACTCCTGTATGACTCTCTGAGTTTTTCGTTGGGGATCACTTGACAAGTGTCATTGTCATATAGCTGTTGAATGAGGTTGACAAAGACTTGGGCACTGCACATCGTAGTTTTGAATTAGTTTCCATATTACTTCTCGGTCTACGCTGTCTGGTGAAGACCTTTATGAAGTCGATGAAGTTGAGGTAGAGAGATTTGACTGCCATTCTATGCTCTGTTCTGTGATGATGAGTAGAGTTACAATTTGATCAGCGCATGTTTGCCTTGCCTGAATCCGGCTCGTTCTGGGCGGAGTTCTGTATCCAGTGCATCTTTCATTCTCTCTAGGATGATGCAACTTAGTATTTTACTTGGCGTGGACAAGAGCATGATTCCACGCCAGTTCTTGCACAGGCCTAACTAAGTCACTCTTCTTTGGCAGTTTGATGAGGTAGCCCTTCTTCCAATCAGTAGGCACCTTTCCTTCTCTCCAAACGTTTTGCAGTAGTGGAATGAGAATATCTGCCGTAATCACTGAGGCCGTCTTCAGTGCTTCGGGAGGAGTGCTGTCTGGTCCTGCTGCCTTCCCTACTGGACTTCAGTAGCTTGATCGCATTCAGGATTTCTTCTTCCGTTGAAGAAGTGGTGTCCACTGGCAGGCAGATCCGTGTGTGCTGTTGGTGGTATTTCTGGGCGAGTTGCCGGTGGTGGTCGATTCAAGTCCTTTAAAGTGATCAGCCCACTGTTTGATTTATTTCTCCTCCTTGATGATCAGGTTCCCTTGAGCATCTGCTATTGGTTTCATCATCTGGGTTGATCTCCCGGATAGAGACTTGGTTATCTGATATAGTAATTGGAAAATTCCCATTCAGTCATAGAAAACAAAAAGCGTTCAGCAAAGAGTTACTCTTTTCGGCGATATCATTCTCAAGCTGTACAAACCGCAAATTTATAGTAATTTTTCTTGGCAACAAAAGGAATATTTCCAAAGATGTGTTAATGCAATTGTTAATTTTTCTGACAACAAATTACGTAATTTAGAAGGCGTTAATCGGTTAGAAACTAAAATAAAGTTACAAAAGTAGGTTGGGTGACGTAATCTAATTGCTAGGGTTCAATGAAAAATGAATGAGAGTCAAGTTAATAATCTGAGTAGAATTCACTTGAAAATGAATGAGAGTTAAGTTAATAAGCTGAGTAGAATTCACTTAAAAATAAACGAAAATGGAGTTAGCAACAGTCGTCACGAGGGTAGAGATTTAATAGAGGGTGGGGGTAGAAAATAATGCAATTAAGAAACAGACAAACAAAGAAGAAAGAGGTAAGACAAAATTACGTATTTGGTGTTGAGATAGATCAGGACCATTGTAGATTTAGTGACTGGACAAACTTCTTTTGTATGCAGAGTTCAGGATTCAATATCTGATATAGTGTCCTGATGTCTCTTTTGCCAGCTGCCCGTCTGTTCTGCTTCAGTTGCCAGCCAGTGTGTCGTAGAATTGTCATTTTTTTCTAGCACTCTTCGTCACTTCTTTATTCAGTGCACATTGAACTCAGCTTCTTCTTCTGTTGTCCATCCTTGCATTGAGTGATCTCTTTCGCCATCCTCCTCTCCTCTCCTCGATTAGCTTCCAGGTAGGTGTCCATTGAGAGCCATTCCTTGTCTTGTCTCTTCCTTCTTCCTAGAACAACTGTACACGTTTCCTTAAATATCGCTTTCAGAGAATTCCAAAGTTCTTCCACACAGGTTTCCTCAGTGATGCCATGTAGTGTGTCCGAATTTGATCTGATATGTGTAGCGAATGCATCCCTTGTAGTTTTGTCCTTCAGCTTCTGAATGTTGAACTTGAATTGTGGCCTGTCTCCAGTTGTTTCCATAGATTTCAGCCTTGAAGGTTCCTTGAACTAGATGATTGTCTGAGCCCACATCTGCTCCCCTTCTCGACTTTGTGTCCAGCACAGTGGCTGCGTCTCCACTTCCCTGAGCAACATTGATATGAAATCTATTAGATTTGTGGTATGTCCGTCAGGCGAAATCCATGTCGCTGGCTTTGTTTATATCCTTGTGTTTGTACACGCTACCCCTGACCACCAAATCATTGAGAGAGCAGAAGTCTGCGAATAGTTCTCCGTTCTCATTCATTTCTCCGAGCCAGAGCCTCTCGACCCATGATGAGTTCTCTTCCTCTGTTATCTGTTCCAGTTTCGCATTCAGATCACCCATAAGGATTTTGATGTCGCCATTCGGGGTGTTGTCCATTACTGTTTGTAATTGTCTGTAAAAACCCTCGTTTTCTTGTTCTGCGTTGTTTGTAGGTGCGTAGCATTGTGACCTTCCTTCCTTTGCAGTTGAATCTTGCTATCATGATGCTGGATGAAGTTGGTTCCCACTGCATTAGAGCTTTGGCTGCCCCCGGTGACATCATAATAGCCACTCACTGCCTTAGTGTGTTCGTGGTTGTTATCTGGGTAACCGGAGTAGATTATTGACTCTCCCGTTGACAGTGTTGTCAATCCAAATCCATTCCGTCTGCTTTCGCAGATACCCAGTACTTCTAAGCCATATCTTCGCATGTATTTGAATACTTGGGCAGCCTTCCCAGTCTCGTACATTGTACGGATATTCCACGTATCTATTCTTACTCTTGGTTTCATCGAGAGAAGACATATCGACTGACTGGCTTCCGAAGGCTTTCAGCAGCCCGCGTCATTTCACCTCTCCGATTCCAGTGAAGAATAAGATCGTCCATCGAATGTTTTGTATTTTTAATATACTTTTTGTGTGTTGAAGTTTCTCTAGCTGTTTGAAAGATTTAGTGGTGTCGGGTGGCTAGCCTTACACTCAACCCTCCCTCTTTACCCAGGCTTGGGACTGGCCAGGAAACTGGCGAGCTAGTTAACTAGGCTAGGTTACCAATTATAATATCATGCACTGTTTTTTGTATTGCCTTTATTACGAAATGTCTTACGAGAGGCTTAAATTTTTCCTTACAGATGATAGCAGGCTACATTCTAAAACAAATAGCCTAACTATTCACACGTGATCATACAACGCTATCTATCCTAATAATTATCTACAGAATTTAATTGAATTTATGGATGTTTGCGTAAAAATTCATAGTGGGAAATATATATTTCTAAACGCAGGAAGTTGTCTTTAAAATCACTTATTTATTTTATCTAGAACATCAGTTCGTCTGTTTAATAGGCTGTTTTTATTAAAGCTATTCTTTCTTCCCAATTGCTGGGGTATAATCACGCATTCAGTGCATGACACGATAAAAGAAATGACCTTGACTATCCCATGGTCTAATATGTAGTTACAGTTCTATTGATTTATTTAGATAGACTGTGGATTGGATAGATTGAAATTAGCAAATACCGATGGCTTATTTCATAACATTTTTGGTTATTGTTTGCATTGTAAATGAAAACTCTTAAATATAATGCTTTGTTTAGAAGGAATTCATAGGCTACTATAAAACTAATAAGTCTCAATTTTGTACTTCACAAGACAGCGTATATTCAAAACTGGAAAGTTACAATCCAGTAAATTGCTTATACTTACTGTTCCTGAAAAGTAAATAATAGGTTTTTGAATGTCATTTAAAATAGGATGGATTTTGATTGTTTTTTTTACCTAATTGATTAAGGTGCTTAGATTGTTATTAGATAGTTAGAGGCAATCGGCAGGAATCCTTGAACCTAGGTTTCGTGCTTATGGGCACTTGTCAGTAAGGCATATCTGCAACCTTGGCGGAACTCATGTCCCATCTGTAATTTGAACCCAGTGCTACAGTCAGAGACGTTGCCACTGAGCTGTTTGGGCTCGCGATCGACCTCCTGGAGGACTCTTTTGTATGCGTTGATTGAACAGTAGGTAGTATGTAAAAAGTGTCGTGCATCTAACACGAAAGCCAGGTCCAAGGCTTCCTGTCGATTGCCTTCATGCATCCAATATCAAGAATTCAGAGTGCACCGTGATGCCGAACCATCTAGCATAGTAGCCGAATTTCAGACTTCACTGACAGAACTCAGTCTATTCCAAACAAAAGACTGGATGCATGACACTAGTTGCATACTACCTAGTGTACAATCAAAGATGTATAGGTTACAGATTTATATCCTGCAACGGGACAAGACATATGTTGTGATCTAGTTGTCGACTCATTTGTATTCTAAACATAAGCGTTTACTTTAATAGGTGAATTTTCCCATCGACCACAACCACATCAGAATGTAGATTAGTTTTGAGTTCCAATAAAAAGTGCCTATTACCACACTTCGTCTTGGATTCTGAAAAGTAGGAGATATGTGCAAATTTATGCCTTTGACAGCGTCGATCGAGAGGTGATTTGGAAACTACTTCGACAATTATACATCTCATCCAACAGCTGTACGACAATGCTGCATGCCAAGTAATCCGCAACGGGAAACTTACGGAACCCTTCGAAGTGAGGACAGGAGTAAGACAAGGCTGCCTGCTATCGCCAATGATTTTCCTGATTGCAGTAGATTGGATAATGCGACAGACAGCGAGGATTGAGGAAACAGGCATAAAATGGACCCACACAAAATACTTGGAGGATCTGGACTTCGCCGATGATATATGTCTGATTTCCCACAAACTGGAAGACATGCAAGTGAAAAGCAACAAGTTAGCAGAAGAAGCATCAAAGATAGGACTTCAGGTGAACATAGATAAAACAGAGGTGATGAAGATTCCTGGGCAACACCAGCAACAACAATAACAACAACAGACAACAATCAGCATAAATGTGAGGAACCTGAAAGAAACTACCTGCTTTACCTACCTGGAAGCATCGTTTCAACTACAGGCGGAACTGACGAGGATATCAAAGCCAGGATCGGGAAGGCAAGACAAGCTTTCAATACTCTCAAGTCTGTGTGGAGGTCAACAGCACTCAGCATCAAAAACAACATCCGGATTTTCAACTCCAATGTGAAGTCAGTCAGTGCTACTATACGGATCAGAGACTTGCACTGCGCGTCATAAAGAGCATCTCAAACAAACTACAGACCTTCATTGACAGTTGTCTTCGCTAAATACTCAAGATCAGATGGCCAGAAAAGATCAGCAACAGAGATCTCTTGCAATGAGCGAACCAACCAGGAATCGATTGTGAAACAAGTAGGAAGGAAGAAATGCAGATGGATTGGCTGGCCATACTATGAGAAAACAAGCCATCAAGTGACATCATTAGACAAGCCATTGCTCGAGTGGAACCCTAGAGGGAAGCGGCGAGTTGGTCGTCAGTGCAAGGGTGACTTGGAGGGGGTCATGTGAAGAGGAGATGAAAGCATATGGGCAGACTTGGAGCCAGGTGAAAACTCTAGTAGAAAACCGAACGCAATGGAGAGGCGCGGCTGAAGCCCTATGTTCCTGTAGGAATTAAGGGAAACAATAATAATAATAATCAACATATAAGTGTCTTATAAAAGAAAAGAGGTTCAGTGAAGAGTTACCCTTTTCGGCGATATCATTCTCAAGCTGTACAATCGCATATATATATATGTGCGAAAAAAATTTCAAACCATACAGGTAATGTCAAGAAATTCACCAAAAATACAACCTTAATAAATAAGTATAAGTGCGTTTTTAATTTTGAGGTTGTTTAATTTGTGTGGCATTCGTTTCGAGGTTTAGATTCTCAAATGTTCAGTTGTTAACATGAATCAAGAATCAACCATCATTTCCTTGAATTTTCAACAACAGTTTCCAAAGTAGTTTCGATTATCTGACTTGAGTAGTAAAATGAAATAGCAAAAAAAGAGATAAGTTTTGTTTGCGATAATAAGCGTGCTTTCGCATCAAAAGAGGTATCTTTTCTTCACTTCTTAATAAAGCAAATACGTTCTTAATAAATTCCTTTAGTTTCGCGTGACCATAAAGCTTAAAATGTCCACCCGTAATGGTGGTTTCATGTAATAATTCAATGGAGTTGTTTGCGTTTCATTTGTTCTTCAAATAACCGGGAAGGCGGTAACCATATATGGTACAGGCTTTTCTCAGACACTTTAAAACCATTCCTCTCTGCAACAGAAAGGCAGCATATACTGTCTGCTAACAGCAAATATCTTCCTATCCTTAAGTCTCCTTTCAATTATCATCATATTTTTACTTTTATAACGGTATTATGGCGTTAATTAAGTACTATGTGACACAGAATTTTATCTGATCGCAGAAATGTTTCCTCCTTTGAATTATATGGATTGAGTTGGTAGGGAATATTTATTGGTCAAGAAGTAATGCATGCCCAATTCTTAGTTATTCTTGTTACCAGGAGTCCAAATAAGCCTCTGATGTAAACTCAATTTTTAACGTAATACTGTTGATAGTATGTAATTAGTGTTGTGTGCTTATGGCATTTTTATAAATATCAAACATTAACAGATGGTTTGATTTACGATATTGCTTATAATGTATGCTCATTATTTCCACTGTTAACTTCAAGAATGTTGATATCAATCTGTTATACTGAGATATACGAATGGTATTTTCCATCATTCATTCGCGCACGAATGTGATTCCCTATGATCACAACCGTTTTATGCTGTCCTCTAAGTTGTGACACTAATTGAAGTCTGTGAATTTCTCTACAGTTTTACCCAATTATTTGCACAAAATATCCTCAGCTAAGAAGTTAATCTATGAAAATAACTGACTGAGACTGAGTTTCTACACACAACTTTACACACGAGTGCAGCAGCTCAATTTGCCACGTTCCACGTAACACAATAAGGTAGAGTAAAGAGATAAAAAAAGGGATTAATAAATACAATAATAGGCAGAAATATGAGGGAGAAAGAATAGTAACACGAGATAACATCATATTTTACGAAATTTTTAATTTTTGTATTTAAATAAATTTTGAACATATAATTTACGGGATTGTGCATAAAGGGTAGTTAGGATGTTTCGCCAGTATGCTGCACATCGGTGGTACAGCTGTAAGACCTACGAATACTCCCGGGTTTTTATTACACACGACCTACTTTACTGTTATCTGTGAATTGATGCGATATCAGTTCCTTCCAATAAACACAGTCCGTTTCTTATTTAAAAACCAAAAGTTTATCGTATTTGCAAGTATTATAATTACTCAATCTAAAAAGAATATGTATATAAATGCAATATCATATGTAGTTTACTAGTATTTTCTTGGTTTTTACTTTTGTTTAGGAAGTCCAAGAAATAGTTCAAGAAAGTTTACGAGAGGTAGCACTTTGTCGTGTTTGTATGGATAATCCGATTTCGCGTGTCTTCTTTCCATGTGGTCACACAATTTGCTGTAGTGTATGTGCAGAACGTGTAGACCAGTGTCCTATATGCCGTAAGAGCATTGAACTGAGACATCCATGTTTTCTCCCTTGGAGTACTGAATCAAATGCTGAGGATTTCACCTCTATACTTGGATGTACGTTTAAAGATATAAGCGATCGATTTAAATCTCACAGGAGTTCACGTCATCACAAACACCATATCCCAGTTGATTCAACTTTACATGCAACAGCATCAGCACCTGTATGTGAATTATCGTCCCTTGAAACTGAAACACAGTGGTCAAATAATCGTTCCCATAAGTTTGATCAGTCTAATTCTATAAACCTACCTCCAATTTCTCCACAATTTTCGACATCTGTACCTGATGAAAACTCCAACAAAGACCACCAACTTCCCTCAACTTCAGGCAATTCAGCCGCTTTACCTATTTCATCTTCTGCTAGTCACGAAAATCCCGAAACAGGAAAGTCTAACGACAATTCTCGTCACGTCACCTGGCAAACAGAAGACTAATAAATTTTTTTTCTATAATGTATTTATTGAATATGTTAATAAATATTCACAAAAATATGCATTAAATGTGTATAGATTGTTATTGTTGTTATATTTATTTCGGTGACCTTAAAATTATTCAAAATCTTTATTTACCCTCTGATCAGTTTTTGATTGTTTCGCTGTTTCTGTTCGATTTCCCTGAGTTTATTACTTCGCTTTATTACTTTGAGTATGTCGTAACACGGTGCAATTGGTTCTCTTTAACAAAATTTTTCTTTCTGAGTTTTATCAACTTCTGCTCGTTCTCTTTATGCTTCATAGAAAACCAAATAATACTCTCCGTATGCCCTTTTACAGTCTTTCATTCATTTTATTGTTTTTGTAATTTCATTTCACCAATTAATTTGCGTTTGGTTCATTTTGTATGCCAAAGAAGTACATTTCTCCTCTCCAATAAGATGATCTGATTGCATATGTATGCTGAATTAAGGTGTACATATATAGTTTCAGCTATCATACAGGTGATCAAAAAGAGTCTGTCAATTTCCCAATGATCCGAGCTGTTCTGTGTGTGTGTGTGTGTTTGTTCGTGATATTCAACTGTCTTTTTTTCTAATTAATCCAGTTTTGTTCTTTTAGATCTAAACAGTACCATTATTATCCATGATTCTTGTTATACACTTCAACAAGACTGTTTAATGACTGATAAAATAATCATTGTAAATATGAAAAGGAAACAATTTAATTAAGTTTCTTTATTTACACTTACCGCCTTCAAAATTATATGTTCGCTTATCAAGTATACAATCAAGAGAGATAAGTATTTATTGTTTAATATTTGAACATTTCGTCTTTATTTTTACTTATTAGTTTCCATCAGTTACTACTCCACTGTATCACATTGATAATAGAAACTTTCGTTGAATTCAACAGATTTTTCAAATGGAATTTAATATTCTAATTGGTTATTGAAAGAAGATGACATTTCACTAAAGAGTAAATAAATTTAATTGGCTTTCAGTTATATTATACTGTGATGTTTTCAAGTTTTCAGAGTGGATTAATGTTTAACCAGTATCAATCAATGTGCTGAATATAAACTTACAGTTATACTAGACTAGACACTTGACTAGTTTCCATTTCTGAATTGTCAAGGAAACATATCGGCTACAGTAACATGTCACTCTTGAAATCACAGTGTATCACTGCATTGTTAGTATATTTTTCATTATCTTATGACTACATCTTCAACCGGGGTGAATATAACTCCGTATTAAAAGACTGACCGTAAACGACATGTTGCTGAGTTATTCAAAAGACTTAGGATTATCAGTGAACCAGTATTTAAACATTTATTCTAATGCACTTAGATAGCCTAGCGACATGTCGTTTAATCTCAGTCCTAATAAAATCTACTAAATAGAACTTAGATCTATCTTACTAGCTTACTGTTGTAACAACAGAAGGCCAAAGTACATTTTTCAATAATCAAACCGCTGTTTATATATCTACAGGGTATATTCGTTAACCAATCAGTGAGCGTCCGATTTTAGTTTACATCAAACGACAAGTAGTAGAATGTTCAAATATACATAGTATTCTGTTGCCATTGCAGTATTGAACTGTGGGAACATGTGAGGATAAAATTCCATTGGCACACATCGTCTGTTTCATACTACCACATTGTTACTTCTCAGTGAATCCTATAATCTTTTGCAAATACTAGTTCACAGTGTGATGGTGTTATCTCCCTACTAAATATGTATTTTGTTGTACCATGAGACGAATTTATTATCTTCGAAAATCATACAGCAGCGGGTCTATGCACAACCTCATTTTACTCTTGTTAGCAAATATACTTTAAAAAAATCTCTTCATAATTCAACAGTTCCCTTTCTAATTCCCTGATAAACAAGTTCAAGGTATAAATGAATAGTTTCATAGATTTTAATCAAATGCTTTCCTTCCCTCGTAAAATATTTTTAAGTTTTATTACTGTATAACACTGATTTATCAAAATAAAATCTTATCCATAATGGAATTTTTAAGTTTTGATAATGATGACTTTCTTCGCTTAATTAAGTGAGAATCACCGCTGACCACAAATAAATACGGAAAGCAACATGACATATACAATGTTCTTTGGTAAAAATGGATACTTTTGAGATACTTCACTAGCCATTCGGACCCGAATCGGAAAAGTAAATCCCCTTATTGCCATAGTTAGATGTTGAATTTACCGCATACTTCGTCTTATGGCCTGATAAGCATTACATTTGAGTCTTTTAAAAAACACCGTCACTCACGACAATGTAGATATACCGTGCTAACGAGTTCCGAATAAGAAGAAGCGCACATCCTGGATGGAATTGCTATTTCGCAACTTAAAACATCGACTGAAACCATATTTACTGCTATAAAAGTTTTTGTATTTCCCAATGAACGATATTGGTTTTACTGACTTTTCGCTACCTAATGCTAATAGCTTTATCAAAGTATTGTTAAACCAGAATTTACACAATCTCAGCTTACATATAACAACTTAATCATCGTTTAACAGCATGGTTTCATAATACTTTGATAAAGCTATTAGCCTTAAATAGCGAAATGACAGTAAAAACACTATCGTTCATTGTTTTTCATTCATTGGGAAATACAAAAACTTTTATAACAATGTTTATTATATGCCTAAATGATTTCAAACTGTTAAAAGTCAACTAGGTTTGGTTATACGAAACCATATTTATTGAAGAAAGTGATAGAACGGATGTGCATGCTGCAATTATCAATAGGATTTTTTAAACTACTCATTTTCTGTTGTACTAAATACAAATAATCAAACAGAAATAAAAGTTTTGTTGAGAGTATTACACATGATCTTGAAAGAAAAACTGTCTATACAATTGAGACACTAGCCTTAAAATTTACATCGATAAGACTTTTTCTGCATGATATCATTTTCTTGGCATTACTTTTGTCTCAAGCAGTTCATTATCCTTTAAATCATTTTATAACCGTCAGTGTGGGAACTTACAAAAAGCCAGTTAAGTGAACACTGATGTATAAATGAAAAGAAATTCGTTTTCACTTATTACTTAACCCTATGTATGAGAATACCGTATATCTTTACACATTCACTTAGTTGAGTACAGTTACATAGTGTATCGAGGAAATTCCCTGTATGACCTGTTATTATGTAACATGCAAGAGCATTTAAATGTAGAAAACCTTCAGTTTGACTAATAAGAAAACGAAATTTAACTGGATATACAATAAACGTGAACTAAATAGGTGTACACATTTCAGTTGAAGATATATATATATATAAACAACCGCCCTCTGTAATAATACAGATTTGCAGCTTAGAATGCGAACATAAGTCATCCGATGACCTATCAGCTTTGATATTTGGTTCCGGCTGTTTCACTACTGTTATCTGATTAGTCAGTCGAGTTCAATGTATCAATCTAATGTTTATTTTTCTACTGTGACCAACCAAATTAGGTGAGTCATCTCTGTGGTACATTTTGATTGGCTGGAGGCATTCCTGAGGAGACTTTCGATCTAGATTTCGTGTTTATAAGATTTTGCAGCAATGATTACTTTTGGTATCGCGAAGAGAATGATATCTTCTCAGTACAGCAGTCAGGAACCTTACCATTGAGTCTTGTTTCACCCTACACAAAGGAATCACTCTTGTGTAATCAAACAGTATGTAAGGTGAAAAGGTTTCCTCCCTCAAAATTCGAAGGATAGAAACAATGAAATGTGAAAATATTCACTTAGCTTGCAAATATGCCTTCTATCCCAAAAAATCTAGTGCATGTGTGTTAGCAGGCCTTTTAGTGAAATAATAGGAATGAACAGTCAAAGCTCAAAGAACAAATTTAAACTTGTCAATGGTAAACTAATAACAAGAGGACATTTTAACTCAATGCTTTATTGTGCAACTTATAAGTGCTGCGTTAGATCTAATTTGAAACTTAATCTAACCAGACGTAATTTTAGGTTAGAATTCAAGATTTTTTGCAGCGGAATAGGAAGGGCTGTTTTAGACAAGATAAATGATCTTTCCTGATATTTAGCTGACGAAAAGTTCCGACAAAGATCGCATGATCACATATCTTAAGAATTGTAATTTGATTTAAATTAAAGTTTGTTTACCTCGTTGGATTCTGTCTTCAAAACCATATTATCCTCTTTGAAAAATTGTTAGGTGACACTGTTTATATGGCTTGTATAAGATCCTGGACCAGAATGATTCAACCCTTGTAGTACAAGTTCAGACAAGCAAAATGAACTCTCTTCATATACAATCATAATAGATTCATTTTCGTAAATTTTCATTAACTAAATCTTTAATGTAACTGTAGAACTTGGGCACTGTGGTAGAATGTTATTCCTTACTAGATAAGTTTATGTCAAATTAAATTTTAAATTAATTAAATTTCATTATAGCTTGATTCCACACAGTATTTTGTTACAAGTATGGAATTTTCAGCATTCGATATCCGTAGCCCAAATTTAGCAGGCCGACTATTGATATCAGGTGTACGTCGGCAGGGGATCGAACCCCGGACCATGTGCATGGTCGGTGAGCAATATCACAGAATGTAATGCCGTACTAATAACTGAATCACGTTCCGAGCAAAATTTATTGTTCATAATTATCTAAATTTAGTCACACAGCCTCATAATTTACTTTAGATATGTTTTTCTCACTCTTCCCCTTGTTGTTTGTTGTAACTCTCCATTTCTTCGGTATAGGCATTGCGTCATTTTGATTGTAAATGTTTGTAGATGAACCGACAAACAAAGATTCAGTGATTAACCCTTTTCTGCAACTATATTACTTTTTAATACTTTCACTCTGTTGTGTGATTACACGCAAGTGAATGCAATGCAATGGCTGACAATTTTTCTAGGTTATTCAACTGATCAGAGTTAATTATTTTAGGTCTAGGTGAATTTTCATGCTCCAATAATCTAGTTGACCCCGATCTATTAGTGTGACCTGT